AAAAAGAGATAAAAGTCCCAAGTACCTTAGAACATCTCCGACCCTTAATCAAATTTAAATTTGAGTAAAAAAGTCCAAAAAACTTGCTCCAACTCATGATTCAAATTTATACCAAATCAAGGAAAAAAAAATTTTGGACTCAAATTGAGAAATACCCAAACTCCATATCAAATTCCAACGGATATTTTTTCTCTCCACAAAAGCCCTCTTGCCAAGACGTTCTCTGCTACTTCAAATCTTCTGCCGCTTCAACGCCGCTTCAACGCCGCTAGGAACGACGGTCTCAAGGTAATCTATTACCCTCTTCATCTTCTATTTTCTTCCCTTTTCATCATCGACTACCCCAATTTTTTTTTTGTATAAACCCTAACCCTACCCATCGTTGCTGCGTGAATCCCCTGTAGATATAATCCAACAATTTGCTATGTGAATCCCCTAACTCTCAGTTCCGATTGCAGTACATTCGCTGAGTTTGTGAAAGACCAAGGTTTTTATCATCTTCTTTCTCTTTCTATACGTTCTCTCTAAATGGTCTTGCCCTGTGATATGATTGGACTTCTGGGTATTCATCATAAGTTAAATAATTGAATTGTGTCAACTCTTAAAACTTCCAACATTACCACGTTGCTCTTGTAGGCTGACCATCCTAGTTTAGTATCCTATCTTGCCTTTCTTGTATTACTTTAAAATGTTATTCAATCAAATGGGTTTTCTTCTATCAATTTTTTTGGGTTTGTTCTGACAATCACACACATACACACACACTTGCATGTATGTGTATACCTGTTTTTTATATTGATTTTTTTGAGGCTTGATTTTGAGGAACCTTTGACATTGTAAATTGAACACTTCTGGCAAATGGGGTTTGTTTTTTTTTAATCTGAATGAGCTTTGGCAATTGGCATGTGTTGGGCTATCCAAGTGGGTAACTGATACAGTATTTTGATTTATGGTTGGTTTGTTGCTCAGAGAAGGTAGAAAAAATCATGGTCTGAAATTATAGTGTCAAGCCTTGAATTTTACATTGTGTTTGTATATTTGTTAATATTTTGCAGGAAAAATATAGATTTTTGATAATTGGATGTTAAGAGTTCCCATTTTTTATCAAGTGAGATGATTTTTTTAATGGGATTGTTGAGACTTTTGATTAAAGTGGCCAGTGTCTTTATATGTGAGATAGTATTGATTGGAGCAATTTGGTAATTGTTATTCTTTATAATGAAGTCTTGGAAATTTTAAATGGAATTTTGGGAAATCTACTTGCAACTAGTAGAAGGAAATCTATCAATATTCAACCAAATATTCAAAATAAGTTCAGTATATTTGGTGGAGACAAATATATCTTTTTTTTTTTATTTTTTGCTTGGTATTTTGAAACATATTTACATGCATTATTGGATGACATTTGGTTGTGATTTGCAAATTCATCCTTTTGATAGTTACTGATTTAATATTTTATTTGCAGACCTTCATGTAGATCCTCAATTATTATATAAAGTGCACTATCTTGCTTGTGGTGATTCATTTTGGAAGTAAAACAAGTCAAACAATGGATGATCAAGAAATGTTTGAAAATTCTCCATGCTTAGAGGAATCTCATGGAATAGAATTATTTCTAAAAGTAGTCGTTCTCATGGTAAAGCCTTTAGTATGTTGGAAGATGGAGCGCTCTGTCAAGCATGGTTTGCCGTCTCCCAAGATCCGATTTCTGGAAATACCCAAACCAAAACAATGTTTTGGGATCGTGTTCATGCCTATTTCTCTTCCCAACCAAATGTTCAAACAAATAGATCCAACATTTCTTTAGCTCACCATTGGGCTTTGATTCAAAAGACAGTGAATAAATTTTCTGTTTTTCTAGAGCACGTTCAAATGAGGCAACAAAGTGAGATGGTTGAAATAGACAAGGTAATTTTTACAAACTAAAGTTAATTACGATTTTATTGTTTAATATTTGATTTTTTTTCAGCTTACTGAAGCGAAACGCATGTATCATTCAATTCAAAAAAAACACTTCACATTTGAGACATGTTAGGAAATATTGCGCCATAGTTGTAAGTGAGATGAACTTAGAACGCATTTCAAGAGACCTACATCGCATACTTCATCGCCTTCGATTTCTTCAACTCCTACTACTCCGTTATCTCTTGACTCTGATATAGAAATACAACCTTCAAAAGAGAGAGAGCAAAACGACCAAATGGTAGTAAGGCTACAAAAGAATCACAAAGGAAGAAGGTGGCTCATGATGGTAGGCTTGATGATATAGCAGCCAATCAAACTAAAATTATTGAAGTGTTGGCTAGTTTGTCTTCTCGGGCTATTGAACGAGATCAGCAAAAGGCAATAGATCGTGAGAGGAAGGCTAAGAGTAGGGAGACCCAAATACAAATGTTAGCAATGATGAATGACAGAGAGCAGAGAAATGAGGATCATAAGATCATGTCAATGGACATGACAAATTTAACTACTATGCAAATATCCTACTATGAAGATCTTCAAAGACAAATCATTGCTCGAAATAGAGAGAATGGGTTTTAAATCATGGCTTGGAGTTGGGTATTTTTTGTTTATTGCAATGAACATGTTATTTTTGTTTAAATCATGTCAATGGACATGTTATTTTTTTTATTGCCACATGTTTATGTTGGATACTATAAAAGATTCTAAACTATGAAGACTTTTGTTTGTTGCTTTTAGATTGTGTTTGTCTTGTGGTTGAAACTTATTACTGTTTGTATTTTTGAAGTGCATGTTAAAGAAAAATAACACTAGACATTCATGTTAAAAGAAAAATAAAAGTAGAAATATCCATATATTGAAAGTAGCTTGCAATGACTGCTAATAGGCTGCTAAAGGAAAAACATATATGCTTAATGAATAAACAACATCTTCACATCTCTCCATGCCGTTGCCATAAATGTTCAATCAAGTCATTTCGAAGGATATGGTAAGCATTTTTATCTCTAATTCCTGCATGACAGGCCAAGAAGGATTCAAAGTCATTGGTACATTCTCGTGAAATGACTATGGACGAGTTATGCATTGATGTTTCATATTCAAAATCGCCATAGTCATCTCGCTCGTCTTCAACAATCATATTGTGTAAAATAATACACGTTCTCATGATATCCTCAAGTGTTTCAGGATCCCAAAACTGTGCTGGCTGACGTACTATTGCAAATCGAGATTGGAGAATCCCAAATGCTCGTTCCACATCTTTTTTTGTTGACTCATGCATCATAGCAAAATGTTGTTTTTTGGCTCCTTGTGGAGAAGAAATGGTCTGAACCAATGTCGCCCATGGAGGATATATATTATCAGCAAGATAATAACCCATATTATAGGTATGTCCATTAATGGAGTAATTAGTAGGAGGAGCTTTCTCTTGGACAAGTTCAGAAAAGAGAGGAGAGCGATCTAAGACATTTACATCATTGTGAGATCCTGACATTCCAAAAAAGGCATGCCAAATCCACAAGTCATAAGATGCTACGACTTCCAAAATTATAGTAGGTTTTTTCACATGACTGCAATATTGGCCTTGTCAAGCGGTTGAACAATTCTTCCATTCCCAATGCATACAATCTAAACTTCCCAACATTCCTAGAAATCCGCGAGCCTCTCCAACAACAAGTAGCCTAGCAATATCATCTCCCCTTGGAGATCTGAGATACTCACCTCAAAAAATTTCAATAATTGACCAACAAAAATATTTAAAACTTAATACTGCGATACTTTCTCCAATTCATACGTAATCATCCACAGCATCCGCTGGCATTCCATAGGCGAGCATTCTAATTGATGAAGTCATTTTTTGAAGGGAGGACAATCCAACAACATGACAAGCATCTATTTTTTGAACAAAAAAAGGATCATGTGTTTCAATAGCATTGAGAATACGCATAAACAACTCACGTGTCATTCGAAAGCGCCTTCGAAATGTTGAAAGGGGGTAAACGGGATTTTTAGCAAAATAATCAGTGAATAATCGATCATGACCGTTTTGCCCATCACGGAAAATGAATCTTCGGCCTAGAATAGAACCACCATGTTTGTTGAGTTGTTCTGACTCTTCTCTCAACATTTCTACCATTGTGGCATTATTTGTCTCATAAAGAGCCACCATTGAAGCTACTCCAGTATCATTATCATCCGAAAAAGATGAAGATGAAAACGAATTTAGCAAAAGATATTTTAAAAGATTCATTCCTATGAGAGCAAAATTAGTTTTCAGGAAACTAATGGGTACAATATGATATTCTTGTGTATCTTTTGCTAAATCCATGTCATGATTTGGTGGCAAAGGTCCATGAATGTGTACGCAGATTTGTTTGGAGGGAAGGAAATATTAAGAGGCAAAAATAAGGAGGGATTGCTACTGGCGGGTAAGTTTTGGTGGAAAATATTAAACAAATTAGATTTTGGGATAATATGAGAATTTTTTAAAAAATTTAAGTAAATATTTGAGTTTCTCAATTGAAGTGGTCTGTACCAAATTAAGCTTTTTACTTAAATTTTTACTCAAATTTGAGTAAAAATTTGAGTCTCTATTGAAGATGCTCTTACAGGTGAGACATCTTGGAGACCTATAAATAAAATCAATTTCATAGAGTGTGAAAAACAACTATTTATATTTTGATCACTGGCATATGACTTTAAATTAAATATCAAGTGACTGGAAAAACTTGTGCAAAACACGTCTGTTTTTTAAAACATAAGCGAGTGGTTAAAATATTTATTAGGGTAAAAATATAAAAAGACAATTAAAATATCTATTGTGATTGAAAGGTTAAATGTAAACAAAAAAATTATCATGGTTAAAAAATTAAATAAGTTGTTAGATTTAAAGGATTTGGATCATTATTGTACTGTTTTTAAGTCAAGAATTTAAGGAGGTTAAGCAGAAGACTCTGGTTTATCTATATTAGTTTAAAATACCAACACGAAAACTTTTTTTTTTCAATTTTATCTTCTAACATTAACACTGTGTCTTCCCACTGTCTAACCGTTAACCTATCTCTCTCTATCCCTTCTTTTTCTCCCTCTTCTGTCTTTCTATCCCTATTTCCTCTCTCGAATTCACAGACCACCGATTGACTTCTCAGCCGTTACTCTCTTCTACTTTCTCTCCTTTTTTTCTCTCTCTCCTGCTAATTCACAAATCACAGCCCCTTCTCTTCATCTTCCCATCTCCGTCTCTTTCTCCCCTGCCTTTTCACATATCAGAGAAGAGCACACCACCCCCTTCACTGTCCCCCTCTCATTATCTATCTCCCCAAAATTTATTTAATTACATGTATTTAATTACAAAAATCAGTAACCCATTATAGATTTCAATTAAGCATCAATTTTCTCTTTCTTTTTATGCTTTTGTTGTGGCTATACACATTCCAACAATTAATTTGTTTAATAAAAAAGACTGCTAAGCTTCTTCGACATCCTATTTACAATCGTCGTTTCCTGTCCGAAAAATCCTTTGAAATCCTATTTGCCATTGCCCTTAGCCCCTCTCTGTCAGAAGCCAGCTGCTTGTTGTGTCTTGGCATTACTGTACTGCATCATCGGGTAATAAATTTTTGTGATTTCTCCCTTACTGGTGTTTTCTTCTTTGTGATTTCGTTCTTGATTCAATTTATTATTATATTTAGTTGCTGCAACACTGGTGGAGAACATTAGTTAATGTCTTTTGATGGTGTTTGGTTTCTTTTTTTTTTTTTTTTGCTGTTTAAAGAATGTGACTTGGGAGTGTTGTTGATAATTCTTTTTTTCTGTAGAATTTTTTTTCTATCTAATGAGCTCAAGGGTTATAATTTATATGTGACTAAGAGTACTGTACCCAAAATCTTTGGAGAATTCATATTTAGACAAGAGGTATCTTTCCAGGTTTGACAATTCCTTACTTAGCCACATGATACACATTGTAATTACATGATGGGTAATCCTTCAATCTTAGTAACATTGTACTAAACTTTGTCTTTGTTCAAAATTTTTGCTAACATCTTAGAGTTTGGCCTAAAAAGTGTCTGCTTTGGAATTCTGAGTGTGTTTGCATAATTTGTATCCAAATAATGAATTTGTATCCATATATAATGTGGGTATACTATTTGGTTGATAGCCATAACTCTGTGATATATGGGTTCCCATGGGCCGGTCCTGGCTATTCAACACAAATCACAACTCAATTCTACTCACCGAAGCCTTATCCCGATTTTTTTTTAGTCGCCAAGCACTCAAGAACTCTTCTCTGCCATTCTTTCAAAAAAGTAGTTAAACAAATTTCTGTAAACTCTAAGATGCACAAGGACTTTCATGAAGCAACTATTCTCCTGCTAAAGAATTAAGGTGATCAGTTTGACAATCAGGCTTTGAAGGTGAAGTTCATGACAAGCTGTGGCCAAATAGACACTTAGAGCTTCTTGAAAGCATTTGTCAGCTTACAACTTTTAGGGATACTAAAAAGTATCAGGACACTGTAAGTTAGGAAATTTATTCATTTGTCAGCTTTTAGGCTATTGATTTGGTTGGCTCTGTGAACGTTGTCGTTTTTTTCTTTTAATATCATGATCATGTGAATTCCAACTCTGTTTTCGTGCCCATATTTCAGTTTTTTCACCTCCCAAAGTTCCTGGTGCTAACGATGTAAGTTGATTTCTATTGCATTCCTTTACATTGTTTCAGTTGCAAATATTTTGATTTGTTCAGTTTTGAGTTGCCTGGTGATTTCGTATTAGAACTATTTATCTGACCTTCATGATTTGTCATTTTATAATTTATATGCTTGGAGCAAAATGAATCTGGCAGTGTCATGTGTCATGACTAGTGACTGAGATGTGATATTTGTTTTTCTCTTATGCTAATAGTTTGGAACACAATAGGTGAAAGCTAGAATCACCAAGAATTTAAATTGGTTCAAATCTAGATGGCATCAATTAAATCATGAAGAAGGTGCCAATGAATAATACGATCATGAGGATTGAAATAACTAAAATTAGTAGATACTAGAAGAAAGTGATTTCATGCTTTCCTTTTAGGTTGTTAAGACCTTGCTAGAAGTTTACTTGTATTAACTCTTTAAATTGATGAACTGTTGCCTGATCCCACGACTTTTTACTTTGGTCATTGAAATGTCTTACTAGATACATGATTAAGGACCGTCAATGGTACATGCTGGACACTTGAGCCATCAAGTTTATTACTGGGCAAAACTAGAAAATGTGGGTGGTTTTAATGGTCCACAAGCAGATTGGCCTATGTATATATGAGCTATGCGTCTAAAGAGTCCAATGCTTACGAGTCTCCTGCTTATGAGAGCCTCTAAAGACCATGAAGAATTATGAATTAGGTGAGTATAGTGGTTGTGTTGTGTAATTACTTTGTTGAATCATGTGAGTATAGTTGATGAAAAGCTTATTTTAATTCTTGGTTATTACCTATCTGTTTGTTTTTTTGTGAACACTAAACAATGCATACCACTTAACTCATTATGGACATCTAATAGCAAAAGACCATGAAGAATTATGATTCAGGTGAGTATAGTGGTTGTGTTGTGTAATTACTTTGTTGAATCAGGTTAGTATAGTTGATGAAAAGTTTATTTTAATTCTTGGTTATTAACTCTCTCTTTGTTTTTTGGTGAACACTAAACAATGCATACCACTTAACTCATTGTGGACATCTAATAGCATAAGGGTTTAAACCTTTGTATGAAAGCTGACAAAGAAACAATGAATGTATGGTTTATGGTAGTTCATGATTTTTCGCATATCAACCACAATATATATATATATTATTAGATTTTGTTGTGGTACAAACCTATTTCATTGTTCTTTAAAAAATAACAATATGACAATGCAGCTTTTAAGATTTTTTTCTGCCATTGTTCTTATTCGCAGAAAATCAAGACTTCATTTAAAAGCTGTTGTGGAATATCCTTACAGCAGATTTCATGGCTTCTATAGGTACAATAGCAGACTAACGAATGGAAAGACAAGTCTGTGAAAAAGTTCCAAACATTGTGCTTACAATTGTCGTCTATAAAAGTTTCAAATTCTGCAAGAAATAAACAAATGTCATTGATTTGAAACCTGCCAGTCCATTGATAATACAATACTAATATAATTATCGATTTCCGCTGGTTAACAAGTTTGGACAAGTGTTTCTGTAGTGGACGAGTAGCCTTTTTTTTTTTCCAGTAAGTGGACGAATAGCCTTCCTACTAATTGCTTGGTATGTATTTGCAATGTTTTTTGGTCAATAAGTGCATTGGACTTTGCTACTTTGTACTTGTTTAATGGGATTTTGTAGATTGTTTACCACTTCAATTGTAATATCAATTCTTCCCATCAACAAAATACAATTATATTTATGAAAAAAAAAATAGTTGTTGTATTCAAATAAGTTTAGAGAAATCTCTAATATGAAAGGCACACACACGTGTGCATCAACTAGTTAATATAGATAGCTCTTTAATTTATTATTTATTGCCTAAGTTTTGGTTCTCTTTTAATTTCAGCATTAAGTATGTGCACTGTTCATTCACTTTAGGGCCAATTTTATTTTACACTTTGAAAGATTTTAAAAAATTTAATTTATATCCTCAAAGAATAATATTTTTATATTGTACTCTCAATATATTAAAAGTGTTACAATATAATATTTTTATTAACTTTTTGTTAGTTATTTTGTCGCTGTCAATAGGTTGACTTTTGACGAAACAAATAATGGAAGTTACCATAAGAGTCTTATTGTAATGTTTTTGATATATCAAGAGTGCAATGTAAAAAATTTAACTTTTAAAAATATAGAATAAAAATTGAAAAAAATTTTAAGTTACAAAGTGAGCAAAGCCTTTCTGGCAGTATGCTGGCTTCCTTTTTTTTTTTTTTTTTTCCCTTCTGGTAAGTACCAAAAGAAGGGAGAAAGGGGGGAGGGGCAATTGTACATTGTATTCATAAAAAATTAAGAATTTTTATTTTATACTCAATGTATTAAAATTATTCCCCTTCTATTAATTTTTATTAGAGTAATTATCATGAGCACTCTCTCTAGATGTATGTTCAATGAAATTTCCCCTATTTTTTGACTTTTTTTATCTATTAAAATTTGATTCGAATTAATTAAAATTTATTTTTTACGTATTAAAATTCGAGTTGATTAAAAATTATATATTTTATGTATTAAATTTGAACCGATTAACATTCAATTCGAGTTGATTAAAATTTATTTTTAATTGGCTCAAATCAAATTTTAATCAACTCAAATTGAATTTTAATCGGCCTGAATTTTAATATATAAAAAATATAAATTTTAATCAACTAAAATTTTAATACGAAAACAATAAATTTTAATTAACTTGATTTTTAATACATAAAAAAACACAAATTTTAATTAACTCAAATTAATTTTAATTAGTGCTAGCAAATCAGGTTGAGTTCGAATCAACTCGAATTTTTAATACGTAAAAGAATAAAATTTAATCAACTTGAATCAAATTTTAATATGTAAAAATTTAAGTTTTAATCGACTAGAATTTCAATATGTGGAAAAATGATTTTTAATCTGTGCGAATTTTAATCAAATTTTATATAGATAGATTGTTTAGTGTTTATTAGGGACAATTTTAATATTTTAGATTTATTTTTTTAGGTAAGAAACGGTGGTAACGACGCAGGGTGTCAATGATATAAAAATATAAATTAGAAAATGTTTTAATGATGTTTTTGATAATTGAGTTTTATTAAAAATATGTCTATTTAAAAAGAGTGTGAATGATAATTATCCTTGTTATTAATCAGCTCATCAAGGTGATTTTGGATGAAATAAGTTAACGGAATTGTTATATTATAATATTTTTAATATATTAAAAGTGTAACGGTAAAAATTTAATTTTTAAAAGTATAAAATAAAAAATATTAAAATTTACAGGGTACAAAATAAAGATTCTCCTCCAAAAAAAAACCCCATTTTTTTCCCGGCTATATTGTCTTCCATCCTAGCCCCTACATCATAACTAGGAGAACACATGGTCTAAAACTGAACTTCCAAATTCCGCCATCTGCCCCCCATATTTTACACAGACAAAACCCACTTCTCAAAAACCTCCCTCTCTGCAACTCTCTCTCTCTAGATTTCTTCGTTTTTTATCTGTATAACGACTACACAACGATTCTAGGGTTTGCAGAATCTTCTCATTGGTTTCACAGCTGGTGAAACCCTAATAACCTCCCTATACACTTCCTTTCCAAAGGAACGCCATTCTCTGTGATTGGCCGAAAATCCCATCTCGTTGTCTTCGAGGACTGGTGTCTACGGTTTTATTCCAATGCAATTCCTCAATTCCTTTCACTCTCTTCTCCACATTTGCTCAATTGGATGATTATAGGGACACCCTCGTCTCTCATGGATTTTAGGGTTTAAAAACCTAAACTTTGCTCAATTTTCGAAATCAAAGTTGGGGTTTTAATTATTTGTATTTTTCGGCACATCTTTGTATATTTTCGTTCGTAAATTTAATTTGGGGGAGTGGTGGTGGAGGACATTGTCAGGGGGATGAATAGTATCTATAGTGAACAGATACTCGCGGACAAGCTCTCAAAGCTCAACAACACTCAACAGTGTATTGAAAGTATCCTCCTGTTATCAATTTATTTTTATTCATGAATATTTTCCCGAAAAATTGCTTCTTGGGGTGCGACTTGTGAACTTTTTGTCTACTAGATGAAAAAGTATTTGCAATTTACTTTGTGTGTGTGGGTGGGGTGGGTGTGGGGTAGTTTGTGGTTGTTGCATTTTAAATTGATCCAGTTTAGTGGCAACTTAGTTATCTTTGTAATTGGAGATAAATTGCAGGATGAGACGTTGACTTGTTACATATTCTGCTACTGATTCAATGTAGATGTGGAATCACTGCAGCATTTGTAGTGGTTGATAGGTTTGTGGAATTGAATCTGTTTCTTAGCATCATATTGGGCATTGGACTTTGAGAAGTTTTAGAATGTGCCCCCTTCTTGGCAAGCTAGACTGCTTCATGCGGCTGTTGAAAGACCATAGTTGCTTGTTTTTTCTTATTTAATATAGTGCTTATATGTCAGTTTCCTGTACAGCTGGACAATTTGTTTGTCTCATTTTGTAGTTTGTACTACTTTATTATTACTAATAAAATCTTGTGTCCTGTCAAAATTTTTTAGTTGTTGGTAGTTTTCCTAATCTGGTTAGAATTTGTCGGTTTTATGTTGATTTCATAGGACTGACATGTGTCTGTACCTAAAAATTGATTAACTCGGCCAGGTAGTGTTAATATTTCAACTATTGTAAATCCTACGTACATTTTTTTGATAAATAGAATGTTTCCGACTTGATAGAATTTATATTTTACCTTATAAATTGACTAGGGGTAACTTGTGTTTGAAGGCACGATACAATATTAATAGTTTTGAGGGGATGTTGGTGGTCGTTGGATGAATTTATTTGAGATTGTTGGATGGGCTTATTGAAGCCTGCCCTATTTTATATTATAAATTGTGAAGTCTGTGGGATTGTTTTATCCAATGGATTTTAAGCCATTCCTCAATATTGATGGAACCCAATTTGATCCATATCTTACCATGCACTTAAGCAGGTTTATTTTGCTTGGCAGTATGTAAACTATAGGCTGATCTATATGTCAATTGAGTTCACTGTATATGTTTTTATGTGTTTTTATTGATATCCTTCTAGAGCGCTATTAAATATCAACTTGTTCTTTTGTATTTTGGACCCTTTATCTCGGATCTTGTTATCTTGACTTTTTATCTAGCATTGTCCCATTGGTGTATTTTCCACCGGAGCAAAGCGGAGCAGGTTGTTGCAACATGGGATAAACAGTTCCATTGTTCAGAGATGGTTCAGAAAGTTCCTCTTCTGTATCTTGCAAATGATATCCTACAGAACAGCAAACGTAAAGGAAATGAATTTGTTACTGAGTTTTGGAAGGTTCTTCCTTCAGCACTTAAAGATGTTGTTGAGAAAGGGGATGATCATGGAAAGAATGTGGTCTCCAGATTGGTATGCCTCCTTTTGTTTTGCTTCAGTGATCACCCTGTTACCTCCATTCTTCTGACTATTTTTGTGATTTGCTATCTTTTATTTCTTTTCTAAAGTGTGGAAGATATATTACTTTAACTGTATTTCTTAATCGGTTCACTATTATTTATGCCTGTTTTTCTTTAGCTATCAGCGTATTACCTCCATTATTCTTACTATTATTTTGACTAGCAATGCACATCATGCATTGCACGGTACCATATTTAAATAACAATTTTTTATAAAAAAATTAAATTATGTGTGTAATTAAATTAAATAATAAATTATGTGTCAAATAGTTATTTTAGTTATTGCTAAACCCAATTGTTGATCTATTTTACTCCTGATTGAGTACCTAATATGTCATTTTTTAGCTATCTCCCCAGTTCTTTTAGAGATTTCCTCCATTTATAATTGAGCTTCATTGTAAGTTTTTCATTCTTGAGCATTTATACGTCTAATTATATTATAAATTTATTACATTTTTTTGTTAAGAGATTGGTTAGATGTAATACTATTGTCTGTATTATGATATTATTGCATACCAAAAAAATCAAATATGACATATATTTGATTGTAGAATTTTATCTGGTAATTATATATATATATAATAATAGAATATAGATTGACTTTATTTCGTCATATGAATATAGACATAGATATAGAAAATTGTTTGTAAGTGTATTACTAATAAATAATTCCAAAAGAATTTAGAAGTCAAATACTACTAATAAAAAAGTCCAAAAGTACTTGGAATGTGGCACTGGGTGGCATGACATGTCATCTGCCACTGGGTGGGAAATTTTGTATATATCAAATGATATCTGCTTGGCTTTTTGACATATATGGTAGCCGACTTGCCTACTATGTTATTTTAGTAATTACTAATGTCCATTTGTCAGTATTTGGTAGCAGACCATCCCAGTGGTATGATTTAGTGGCAAAAAACCGTGAAGTGAATCAGATCTAATACATAAATGCTTAAATAATGGATAGGTTGCTATATGGGAAGAAAGGAGAGTTTTTGGATCCCGTGCACGGAGCCTTACAGACATAATGCTTGGAGAAGAATTGCCTGCGCCACTGGAGTTCAGCAAAAAAAGGTCTCGTTCTGTCAAAATTGTAAAAAGGGATTCAAGATCCATAAGAACGGTGAGGATGAAAGCTTTGTGTCTCCCCTCTTCCTTCTCTACATGTTGATCAATTTTCTGTAGCTCACTATTTACTTCTACTAATCTTGTTTCAATTTTTATCAACGTGTTCGGGACTTTGTCCACTCTGTAAATCTTTTCTTTGAAACCAGAAATTGACCATTGGAGGCACAGCAGAAAAAATAGTATCTGCATTTCACTTGGTTCTCAGTGAACATGCTAGTGAAAATGAAGAGATGAATAAGTGCAAGACTACGGTCCACCGCATGAAAAAGATGGAGAAAGATGTTGATCTAGCCCTTGCAAAAGGTAGGCATGCAACGGTACAAAGTTAACATGTGATAGCATTTAGTGAGGTGGTTTTGTAAGATTACTTCCTGTTATTCTTCTTGTTATCTTCTTTAGTAGGGGTTGTTTTGGGCTTATGCTGTGGTGCTCTTGCCATTCCGGTGCCTAAAGCTTAGTCTTTTGTTATCCAGTGAAGGATCCAAAGCGGAAAACTTTGGCCAAAGAATTGGAGGAGGAGGAGAATATTTTGAAACAGTGTTTTGAGAAGCTTAAAGTTGTTGAAGCAAATCGAATGGCTCTTGTATCTCAGTTACAAGAAGCACTGCATGAACAGGTTAAGGATCTGCCACTTTTCTATTTCCATAATAGCATGGTTCCATTGTATTTATAAGCAAAATGACGTCGACTGTTGGCTAATATGTGTTGTGCTTAATATTTTTTCAGGAATCTGAACTAGAGAATGTTCGCACACAGATGCAGGTTTGTACCTGATAACTATCATCTTAAACAATCGTTTCTTTTACCTTAAATCTTTTTCGTTACCTGGTTGGTTCTTTTTCGTCTCCTGGTTTCGTCATCAGTATGTGTGTAATATAAATATATTCCTGAACCCGTTTTTACCTTAAATCTTTTTCCTTACCTGGTTGGATAAGATGGCACACGCATCAGTATGTGTGGAATATAAATATATTCCTGAACCCCTTTTTATAAGCCACTATACTACATACAAAATTCTATGTTGTGTTTTTTAATTTGGCTTTGTGATACCTTTTGCATTTCAGTTGTTGAAATTAGTTGGAACGTAAATGCTTAGAAGCAGTCACTTTTCATCAAGGCTGGGCATTGTGAATTTAGGTTTATTTCTACTCCAGTTTTTGGAGGTATAAAGAAACTTAAAAATGAAAGATAGAAACTAAATGTTAGCATTATGGAAATGAATCCTCAGCTTTGATCATTTAGTTATTTGGAAGTAAATCCTAGTTAATTTTTGCAGAACTAACTCTCTCCCCACCCCCCAAAAAGAAAGAGGAAAGAAAGAATGAAGTAGGGCAAGCTGGAAAGATCTCCTGCAAATTCTTAGTCAAAATTTGGTTGTGGGCATCCTTGAGGCTGATTATCACTACGCTTTGTGCCCAAAAGGCTGGTAGAAAAAGTTGAAAAAGATGTTAGGAGTCTCAGGTCGTAGCTTGACGAGGAGAGATCAATTTTGGATCACCCTTCCAATGTTGTGAATGATGAAATAGTGATGTAAACAATAGCCGGGTCCTTCTGAGGTATTTTTGATATGCTAAGTTGAGGCTTTTAATAATTGAGTGGTTTGGATTGTTGAATGTTTACGATTGGAGAAAATTTAAGAAGAAGAATAATCAAGTTTTTCTTTTTTCCCTGGGGAATGGTCACAGCCACACACTTTGTGTACTCGTGGTTGCAATGCAAACATAGGATGCCTAGAACCACCCGTAAACCTGTTTTATGCAGCCAGGGAGACTTGAATATGGGTTTATGTCTCACCCCTTGTAACCAATCTGTGCTGGTGGAGATGAATCAATTAATTCTCGCAAGGATCAGGAAACATAACACCACACAATACAAATTCTCATGAATCAACTCTAATTGAATCTATATGGCTACACACAAATTTATAGGTGAAATGACTCTCCTAATACTCTTAAGGGCTAGGACCCATTGACCTAACTTATGAGGTATGGATCACAGTTACAGTCCATGTCTCAGAAATCTGAAAATTACTGAAATAACCTTGAAACCAAAAACTAAAGCATAAATAAATCCAACCACAAGCATACTAACTCAAAAAAGCTGCAGGACGCTTCCCCTTGGACCAAAAAGGTTTTTTGTTTGTTGTGGGGTACACAGCCTTCATTTTAGGTTTCCATGGCCGATCAATAGCTACTGCATCAAAAAGAAAAGTGTCAATATCCAGCATTAGGTCCAGGTTGAATCTGCAATTCTGTCATTATGTGTCAGCTAAGGCCTATGGATATGCTCGCACATTACTGCCAAATTGTCAAACATTCATCACTTGGCAGAACTGAAACCCAAGTATTTGGTGGGCAATTAGCTGCTAGTTTTGAGACTTTGGGCAACAGACTATTTCAGCATGCCATATGTTCACCAATTAATCAATTACTTAACTCCGAAAGGGTATGCTAGTAACAGTAGAAAAATTTTGTGCTTAGGTGTCGATTGGGAAACTTGTAATTTCTGATGTTAATCTGAACCAAGAATTTTATTTATGATTTTACCCCTTTATTACTTTGATTTTTTCTATTGGTTTCAACTATATTGGAGTTGAGCTGGTGGATAATAGCTTGGCCTTAAGGATTTTTATCCAATAATTGTGGCAATACAATGCTAATGTATTGTATTTTATTGATTATCAGGTAGCACAGGCACAGACAGAGGAAGCTAGCAACATGCGGAAGCGGCTTGATGATGAAAATTATGTGGCGGATTCAAAACCGTCTACTGCAACCCCACCATCAGTAGATGCCAACACAAAAGCAGGGAAAGAACCCAAGAAGACTGCTGCAGCAATTGCAGCAGAGGTTGCAGACAGGCTTGCAGCTTCTAGCTCCTCACAATACATTATGAGCTCTGTTCTTTCTTCATTTGCAGCTGAAGAGGCCAAAAATGCTGGCTTGACAAAGTCATCAACAAGCAATTCAATGGCAAAACCTGAACAACCACATACTATTTCAGATCCCAATGTATTTATGTCAGCACAACCTCTAAATCCATCAAACAATCCTTATCAATCGGTTTTGGTGAGCCAACCCACAATTCATAGTCAAATTCCAATCTCTCAAGCTCAGTACCATACTCTTCCTAACGCACCTTCCCAGCCATATTTGCAACCGTCAGGAGGGATTGTGAGCTCATATGGTTATGCCAGCATTCCCCCCTTGCCACCAGCACCATCGCCACCTCCACCCCTACCCCTCTCATACATGGTGAACCCAATGATGCCTTTGACTCAACAACAACTGCAGATAAATCATCATCAGCCACTAACTTTGGGCCATCAGCCCTCGGCATTAACTCAGCAGCAGCCAATACCATTACCTCAGCAACCACATGCACCTCCTAGTTTTCGGCCTCTTGGCCCAATTCAGCCTCCTGGGATGATGTACTATGCTCAACCTTATCATTCACAGTGAAAGAGAACCTTTAGTAAGTAGACTTGTTCCATCAATTAGGGTTTTCTGGATAATATTTAATTTTGTGCAAATTGGCTTTGTTCAGATGATAGATACAGAAAGGTCTTACAATAACTGGTACATGCACATAGAGAGCAATTCATAGTGCAGGTGAAGAATAGTGGGTTCGCTTTTAATTTTTGGGCCTTGTCCGAGCTAGGGTTGATGGACGATCATGGTGAACACCCATTGTTGCCAAAATCATTATAATTAAACTTGTACAATGATGGCCTAGCAGTAGCTGACAATTTTGTATTTGCAAATCAAACCAGATAAAATCATTTCTTTGTTTACTTAGATAATTTTGAAATCTCTGAGAGTAATATTTTTCCTCCAATCCTCTGTATACAACCAACATTGTCTACTGTTAACCCTATATCATGCGACAGAGTTTTAGTTTCTTATTTTCAGTATTCATGCATCTGCTCAGGTGGGTGCTCAAGGGGAACATTTGTAATTGTTTACTTCACTTCTTTTTCACAGAGTTAGATAATTTTCTAATAAAGACCCGGTTGGGTTGGCATACATTTTGGTTTTGAAAGCAGGTTCCACTTACTGCAGTGAATTTTTGGGCAATCTTTAGGGTAAGGAACTTAAACTGCTGAAGACTGTTCTTTCTTGCCAACTTTTGTTTCTTGGAATATGCCCTCGTTTAGGTTACCCCTGGAGTAATCTTATTGCCCCCATTTCGCAATTTGGCCTTTACCAACCCCGGGGAATCATGAAAAATTCTTTTCCTTTTTCTTGGTAAGAAATTATTTTGTTGTAGTTGCTTATGTATGTGTACTATGTGTTCTATGCGCGCGTGTGTGTGTGAGAGAGAGAGAGAGAGGGTTTTTTATGAACCTAATTTAGAGCTGAGAGGTCTGTATATCTCACTATTGCACGGCATCAGAACTGAAGGAAATCATCACAGATTAGGAGCTAAGATGCAAATGCAGGGATGCTGATCTTACGCTTTGGGATTGTGTTTGTCATAGAGGATTTATATACTGGCTGATTGCTTGCTTGTCGTTTGTGTAATGGTTTGTTCATTTGGATATTCTATAAATTACAATAGAGTTTTTCCATTTTCACGAGCAGTCCATCAAACATCAGAAAACCAAGCAACAAATGGCAGTTTTGTTTGAACTGGAGGCTTTGTGGTGAAGATCAAATATTGAATTATGAGTAATGTTAGATGAATTTAAAAATTAGACTTGATAATTCTAATCATTTAATAAATAGTGAGTCTTAATAAATGTTGGGATTTACAGTAAAGTCAATAGTAGTAATTCTCAAATTTAATTTTTAAAGTTTATGTTTTAAGTCCGCGTAGCGTTGCTCTTCTATTATATACAAAAGTTATTCTGTGAAGAAACGAGAAAAATAAATCTGTAGTGATGGGTATAAAGAGTGGCCATAGCTTTACATCCGTAAGTTCGTTCACCCTGGAGAGTGAGCTGTTCTTACTCGGAAGATGATCACCGACGATGTAGAACACTGTTCTATATTATCCCCGATTCAAATAACATGCACACCACCCAGGTGATTCAACAAATTCATCATTTATTCCCAGTATTTCTTCAATTTTTTTTCTCCCCCTCACACTGGCCTTCATTTACGATAGTTTCTGTTGACCGACAAAGGGTTGCATGACCTGAAACATTTTTATTCGTAGTCCTGTTTCAGTCACAAAGCTCTGGTTTGAGTAACACTTAAAACCCAAATGGTAAATATTACATAGAACAAATGAACAGTTATGTCCTGCTTATTTCTTGCAGTTCTTTGTTGATATAAGCCTCATTATTCTTTCTCATTTTGTCAGGGAAAGGAAAACTATATATAAACATGTGTTATTGAAAGTGAGATGATTATAATTCTTGTACAAAGCAGTAATATGCATGTTTGTGTTGTAGTCTATATCTAAGCATTTGGAGGCTAAATGTACATGGAAACAAGACACAGTTTTAAGCATGACACAAAATGTGAAAATCAACATTTCATTGCCTTCCTAAGAACAAAATCTTTGATAGACAGTGGCAGATGGTACATGATTGCCATTATGGTGGAGAAATGACCCGAAGAGAACCAAGCAGGTGGATTCTTCTTCAGCACCACAGCTACTGTCTTTTTTGCAAAATCTTCTGAAGGGGTCGACTTTGAGCCTTGTGAAAAATAGGCTCTCTCTCGAATTGCTGATTCAAATTGCTTGTACAACTTCCATTCTGGCATCTGACTATAGCTCGATATGGCAGAATTTCCTATGTTTGACTTAACAGCGCCGGGGACAACATTGATAACGTCAATCCCAAAAGGCCGGAGTTCCAATCTGCATTAGAAGATGGAGAGTGCAATGATTATATTGTCACAAAAGTTTCTACATTATCCAACCAAAACAATCAGAACTACATGTGGTTCAATCGGTTTACAGTTTACCAGAATTATATGCACAACACACAGGTGATAGGCATGGACAGAGCCACTAGAGGAAGAAAAAGGTGGGGAGGGGGGGGGGGGGGA